TGCCAGGAAACAGGGTGTCGGCCATCCTCTGTGTCCAGATACCTGCACACACCTGCCCTCTAGGGCTCTGCAATGATCATACACCCTTACCCCACCCCCTAAAAACTGCATAGGGGAAACTGAGGCACCCCCACACTATTCAGAGGAAACATTAAGAACAGTCCCACTTCGTCACACAGGCCTATACAGCTCTATTTTCCAGGTACTTAAGAGTTTAGCTTAAATCAATGAAACCAAGGAAATTCAGAGCTAAAACTAGCACGCTGTCCTCACCTTACCATGTTGTGTCTAGGTAAGAGGATTTTAGAACAGAGGATGATCTTCATACCATATGTGCTGCCATCCCTTGGACAACAGAATCTGATACAACATCAGTCTTTCCTCTTCTAAATGTCTTTGCTTTGTTTGGTGTACTCTGAGTGTAGAACTCACCAATTTAGAAATAATCCTTACCTTTATTACTAATAGCTTAGGCTCTGATCCTCCAAAAATTATGCATATGCTTAAGTAGGCCTGTGTTATGCAGTCCAACCAATCTCTCCAACAAGCTGGCAAATTATGGAGAATGTCTCCTCATAACTAGATCTGGACAATTGATTTTTTGGTTCGGTGGCCAAACAAGAAAAAAAAAGTTTCAAGTGAAACAAAATCTTTCAGTTTGGAGTATTTTTTTTTACCAGCCCCACAATCCCCTCTTTTGTGTCAAATCCAGATGAATTTCAAAACAAAAAGGTGAAAAGTTTTGTTTTAAACATGTTGAAATGAAATATTTTGACTTTTTCAGAATATCCCTTCCCTCCCCCCACCCATTTTAATTTTGCGAAAATTGTTCACGGAATTGGAGAACATTTTAGGTTGATCCAAAACGACATTCTTCTGTGACTAATCTATGTCCTGAAATTTTTTTGCCCAGCTCTACTCATAACCATGGTCTCTATCTAGCAAGACATCTATTTTCAAAGGGTGCACAACGGGGCAGCCCCACAGCACAGAATACAAGGTTTTGACAATTCTTTCCCAACTTTTTTAGGTTTGTTCCCCAACCAAGAATTTACACTTAGTCAAATTTTCTGAAACAAAGAAAGAAAAGAAATAAGCTAAATACATGAAACAGCCACACTTTCTATTAAGGTTTTATTTATATAGGGCTTTTAAAGAGTTAATAAAACATCAGCTGTCATAATTTACAGACATGAACAGTGTGTGTTACAGACTGCTATAAGCACATCAGTAGATCTACCTTCCAGTAGAAGGTATCATAGACATTACATAGTTGGGGTCGGCAACCTGCGGCTCGAGAGCTGATTTTTAGTGTCACTCTGCTGCCAGCCTGGGTCCTGGCCACCAGACCCGCTCAGCCTGCTGCCGGCCCGGGGTTCCGTCCATCCAGGTCGGCAGCGGGATGAGCGCCGGGGCCAGGACACCAGACCGTCAGCGCGGGTGGCAGACGGAACCCCAGACCGGCAGCCCGCTGAGCTGCTCAGCCCGCTGCTGGTCTGGGGTTCCATCCAGCAGCCCCTGCCAGACCGGGTCCTGGCCGCTGGCCCTGCTCAGCCCACTGCCAGTCTGGGGTTCCGTTGGGGGACCCTGTAAATGTAAAATTTATTACTGGCATGCAAAACCTTAAATTAATGAAGACTTGGCACACCACTTCTCAAAGGTTGCCGACCCCTGTAAATAAACCATGGTGATCAGCGATCTTTTGGAGTATGACAACTGACTAACTATTTATTAAAACTTCTATTAACCATGTACTAAGAAACTATTTATAAATGGAACCATAATAGAAAGCGTGAGCCATGAAGGAACAGATGTGTACGTTAGCATTTCTCTGTTCTGATGCTGGTAATATGGTAAAATTATTAACTGTATATGTCTTGCTCCATGTACTATTTTTGGTTTACTTTTTCTTTACTTTTTTAAAAAAATTAAAGAGTATAAAAAATAAATTCAAAAATCCCATCAGAATTTTCTCTCTTAGAGAACTCCACCAGGCTTCATTGCTTCCTACACAGTGGCTTGTATCATATACTCCCTGATTTCTTCCTAAGCTTCTTTGGACGAGCCCTACAGCTTGCCCACTACTGATTTTACAACTTACCATGCAAAATGCCCTCAAAAGCACTGGGATTTTGTACAGACTAAATGTAGGTTTTTGTTTTGTTTTAAATTGGGCTTTATAGCTCTGGTCCTACAAGCATGTGCTTATCTTTACACATGTGAGTAAAAGTCAATGTGTTACTCACATGCTTAAAGTTAAGCAGGTGCCTAAGTGTTCGTAGGATCTGGGCCTTAAATCGACATACAGGGGTATTTCATACTGGAAAATGAAAGTACCCTTTAGATGGACCAGTCCAAAAGCCTCTAAAAACTACCCTAAATAGTTTGGTTGCTTTATGCTATAATATTTAATCATGTTTGTAAAGGGCTGTTCTCATGCCCAGTGCACCATTTCACGGTACATTTTCCAACCTATATTAAACCTGCAGCTGGGATTTCAAACACAGCAACACAAGTTTACCTATTAAATTTTAAATTGGATTTGTTTTTTTTCACACGCCCTTTCCCCCATGTCTACTTCGTTTGATAAGGAGGTAGGGATTGTGAGTGCTTCTCTGATGGCATATAGGGTAGAAGTCCTTAGAGCAGAACCAGCTGTCAGACAGACAGAATTAGAGCTTTTAAGTGACAAGTTCTTCTACTCTAGCTCCTCCACCAAGGAGCTAGATAAGTGGGGATCAAGAAGCTAGCAGGGCATACCAGGTTTGGCTGAGTGAGAAACAACAGGATATTCTGTGGAACAAAAGCACAGAGAGCACGGACATAGAGCAGAGTGGAGCTGCAGGAGTCTGCTTGCTAAGTACTGTACAATGACCACTTTAGGTCCTGCTGTATCTCTAGCCACCTTTGTTGCCCTTCTCTGGATTCTTGCAGTTAGGAAATATGACAAGATCATTGCCCTGCAATCTCTCCCTCAAGAAACAATCCAGCCAAAGGAAATGGGAATTTTGCCTGAATGAGGAGGAGTCTGTAGCTGCATACTTTAAAATATTACAAACAGTGCTCAGAACTGCCTGCAAAAATGCAGAAATGGGTGCAATAGGTTTTCATTTAAAATCCTAAACCTTGTTATTCTCCCTTGATCAGTCAATCCATAGAACTTATCCTTTTGCAAAGAGGATGTAAGGGGAAGGAGTGATAATTTACCATCTCTAAGTCCCATACAGACCAAACAGGTTTTGTGAGAAGGAACTATGCAGGGGTTGGGAAAGGGGAAATAAAATTCAGTCTCCAGGCCATGGGCAGGGCAAGGAGCAGCCACACGGATGCTCCATGGCTGCTGACCCAAACCCATGAATAGGAACTAGAGTAGGGGCTGCAAAACTTGTGCATCCCTCTGTGGGTGAGTTTTGTTGATACCGGGTCCACCAATAATGACTTCCAAGGCTTATGGAGAGCCCAGTTCTGCTGGGTATAGAGAAAGTGGAGTCCCACCGCATGCACACATCACAACTGTCTATCCCCATTGCCACAGAACTATGGCCCATAGTCTTTATTGGGTGAAGTATCCCATTGACTTCACTGGTGCTACTCACATAAGTAAAGTTACCCACTGTGACCCAGGAAGCCCCCAGTGCCAACTGAAAGAAGGCAAACCATACCATATCTCACATTAGGCCTGACATACTCATTGCCCCAACTCACTGTTCTCATAATCTATGAGCTGTCATGTAAGGTACCATACGCAAACTGGTGACAAGCTGGCCATTAATATTATCGTGTGATGTATAAAGAACTATAAATGCGTGTGGGGAAAAAATGTTCTTAAAAGGCATTTTGCAAGCTGTGCATAAGCCCCGGCTGTCCTAGAGAAAGGAAAGTTGTTTCGCCTGTTTCCCTGTGTCTTCAATGTACATTGAGCCAGGTAATATTGCAGAGAACAATGAAAAGTACATCTGCCGACAGGCTAAACAAAGCCATCAAGCTAAACAAGAGGGATGGGAAAACTGCTTAACAATCACAACAGCAGATAAGCCTGCACCCCCAGGAAGCCTTCCTGGCTCTTGAATCAGAGACAATAGACTTTGGGAAATGTAAGTGGAAGCAGAAAGCCATTTTGGCATCCACCATCTCGGGGACACAAGAGGCCAGAGCTCTTGTAATCTGAGAAAGATGGATCCTTCAGCTGAGGGGGGGTTGAAGTCTCTGCACACTGACTATAGGTGAGAAATCTGTTTAGACAAAGATTGTAACCTGCGGAAGTTAAGTTTTAGGCACGAGAAAGTGTGTTTTGTTTTACTTGTAACCGTATCAGTGTCTTCTATTCTTATTTATAATCACTTAAACCTATGTGCTTTGTTTAAAAACGTATTGTTGTGTTACAAAACCATCTCCATGCTGTAAAAGATGTGGGTCTTCAGTTAATCTATCAGGCTGGTATATGTTCTGTCTCTTTGTAGGCTGTGAGCTTAACCTCTGTGAGGGTCCAGTGAGAGGGACTGGACACAGCAGGAACTCTGGGGAACTCGGGAATTGGGGTTCACTGATTGTTATTTGCAACACAAGGTTTGGACTGGCAGACTCCTGAAGATTTTGCTAGCAAGGCAGACAAGCTGGAGTGTCAGGAAGGAGAAACATAGCTTAGCAGCAGCAAAGCTCTCTCTTGCCATGGCAGTGTGGTAACGCAACCACTCACAGTTCTAGATGACCTGTGCAGGGCGTTACACTCGTACTCAGCTGTTTGCAGAACTGGGCCCCATTCATTGCATTGGGGGTGGGAACATGCTGTGACCCATAGACTACAGGGTGAATATCACCTAGAGTCTGTACTTTGTTTTATTTAAGCTACATTTTTTCTCTCTCATGGAGGATGTAAATCCAAAGACGGCTTGACAAATTATTTAGACAGATTATTGGTGAAAAATGAGAAAATTTTCTAGGTGCCCTTTAAAATACTTTGTGGAAAATGCAAAATCAGCTGAAATACGTTTAGCAATTACCTTCAAGCTGACAGTGCCTTTTGATGTACGAATCATTCGCAGGCTTCTTGGAATTCTGCCAAAGTGCGCCATTCACATTTTTCCTGTCTAGAGTAAAAGCATCGAAAACATTCACCTGCATTCATATCATATCTGTGAAATAACGGGAAAGTCTATACAATATTCTCAGAATGCAAATCAAAGAAGCTCAACAGTATACTGTAGCATCTGCTCAGAACATGGACATGAATAAATGGCTTTGCCAAAGTGGAAATTTGATGGATGGATTTTAGTGTGGCAGAGTTCAAATGCATCATCTATTGACATTGCCTGCAGCCTCATGTAACACTGTTTAAACATTATTTAAATTAGTTTTAATACTATAACCTCTGGTCTGAAGGCTTTGACATCAGCATTCTGTGGCTTTCCAGATATCTTTTTCTGGTGTAGGATTTATATAAATATTATTTAGATTTATAATGTAATGAACTAGTTAGTGTATATAAGCACCATTATTCCCTTTTGGATGGCATCAGAACTGCCCAAATGTGTATCCTGGGCACTATACTCCTAACACAGATGCCACGTTAGCTCAAATGGGAAAGGCCAGTGCTTTTGAAACAAGAAAATCACACTTCCCTCCCCATGGTAAGCTTCCAAGTGGCCACGGTGTGCAGCATATTGATAGCCACGATGCTCCTAGATGGCCGCAGACTTGTTACAATATACTGGGCCTCACCCTGCTATTCCCAGAGAATTTTCATTATGAAGGTATTAATTGGTTCCATGAAAATGACAGGAATCTGTTATAAATATGGAGCTGAATCCCGTAGTCCAAATAACATTGCCTTTTAGAAAAGCTTTCCTTATGTAAAGCTGCAGAATCAAGTCAACTATGAGCATATATGTTCTAAAATGGACATTAAATATGGGAGGCTGTAGAACGTTTCGAAATGGGGATTATTTATGACACTGCTAAGCAATTCTTCATCCCTAATTCAGTCAGGATACAAAAAAAGAATCCTGAATACATAACTACAAATTTTCAAAGACTACAGCATAAAATGAATTGCACCTAGCATGGGATATATCATGCAATAAGAAGAGGTTCTATAAATACATTTGGAGCAAGAGAAAGACAAAGGAAAGTGTAGGTCCATCACTTAGCAGGGAAAAGAGATCTAATAACAGATGACATCATGAAGGCGGAGATGTTTAATGCCTATTTTGCTTCAGTCTTCACTAAAAAGGTTAATTGTGACCAAATGCTTAACTCAATTAACATCAGTAAAAAGGCGAAGGAACACAAGCGAAAATAGGGGAAGAACAGGTTAAATAATATTTAGATAAGTTAGATGTATTCAAGATAGCAGCACCTGATGAAATTCATTCTTGATATGTAAGGAACTAACTGAAGCAATCTCTGAACCATTAGTGATTATCCTTCAGAACTCGTAGAGGATAAGTGAGGTCCCAGAAGACTGGAGAAGGGCAAACATAGTTCCTATCTTTAAAAAGAGGAGCAAAGAGACTCAAGAAATTATAAACAAGTCATCCTAACGTCAATACCTGGAAAGATACTGGAACAAATTATTAAACAATCAATTTGTAAGAACCTAGAGGATAATAGGGTGATAAGTAGTAGCCAACATGGATTTGTCAAGGATAACTCACAGCAGACTAACCTAATGTTCTTCTTTCATAGAGTTACTAGCCAACTGGATGCAGGGAAGCAGTAGAGGGAATATATCTTAATTTTAGAAAGGCTTTTGACATAGTCCCACATGACATTTTCATAAGCAAACTAGGGAAGGGTGGTTTAGATGAAACTACTGAGCAGGTTGGTGCACAGCTGATAGAAAGAACACACTCAGGGCATATCTACACTACTGTGCTACATTGGCGCAGCTGCGTCAGTGCAGCGCGTCTGGCGAAGACGTGTCATGCCAATGGGAGAGCGCTCCCCCATCGGCATAATTACTCCACTTCCGCGAGAGGTGGAAGCTATGTTGGCGGGCGAGCGTCTCCCGCTGACAGCGCAGTGTGGATACTGCTTTAAGTCGATGTTACTTAAGTCATTCCAAGGATGTCGTTTTCACGCCCTTGGGCAACATAAGTTACATCGACTTAAGCAGTAGTGTAGACCAGCCCTGAAAGAGCACTTATCCATCGTTTGCTGTCATATTGGGAGGGTGGATCTAGTGGGGTCCGACAGGGGTCAGTCCTGGGTCTGGTACTATTCAATATTTCCATTAATGACTTGGATAATGGAATGGAGTGTATGTTTATAAAATCTGCAGATGACACCAAGCTGGCAGAAGTTGTAAGCACTTTGGAAGATAGGACTAGAATTTAAAATGACCTTGATAAACTGAAGAATTGGTCTGAAATCAACAATATGAAATTCAATAAAGATAAGTGCAAAGTACTACCATTTAGGAAGGAAAAATCAAATGCACAACTGCAAAATGGGGAATAACTAGCAAGGCAGTAGTACTGCTGAAGAGGATCCAGGGGTTTAGTGGATCACAAATTGAATATGAGTCAACAATGTGATGCAGTTTTAAAAAAGGTTAATATTCCGGGGTGTATTAACTTGAGTGACGTATGTAAGACAGAGGAGGTAATACCCTATTTGGCACTGGTGAGACCTCAGCTGGAGCACTGTGACCAGTTTTGGGTGCCACGCTTTAAGAAAGATATGGGCAAATTGGAGAAACTCTAGAGAAGAGCAACAAAAGTGACAGGGTTAAAAACCTGACCTAGAGGAGAGATTAAAAAGACAGGATATGATTAGTCTTGAGAAAAAAGGACTGAGGGTGGAGGGGACCTGATAGTCTTCAAATATGTTAAGGGTCATTATAAAGAGGCTGGTGATCAATTGTTCTCCATGTCCCCTGAAGGCAGAACAAGTGGAAATCAGCTTAATCTGCAGCAAAGGAGATTTAGGTTAGATATTAGGAAAAACTTTCTAACTGTAAGGATAGTTAAGTACTGAAACAGATTACCAAGGGAGGCTGTGGGAATCCCTGCCACCGGAGGTTTTTATGAACAGGTGAGACTAACACCTGCCAGGGATGGACTGGGTATACTTAAGCCTGCCTCAGTGTGGGGGTATTGTCATTCCAAGCTGACCCAGCGCTCCCCCTTGTAGGCAGGTGTGGTGTTGCAGTCTAGCCCTCACTGTGTGTGAGAAAAAAACCCAAGTATCACAAGTACAGACAGACTGTTAGACACTAAAGAGCACCCCCTTTTGGAGGGCTGCACTTGCTAACAGAAAAGCCAATGTGTAAAAAAAACCTTTCATCCCAACATTTTAGCTGGGTGATGAGGTCATTCTTAGTCCATCTATCTCCCACCTGAGTCCGCTGCTCACCTCTATCCAGGCTCTTCCCTGGTGGGTCTCTTGGTTCTGGTCTTTGCCCCTGAAGTTAGTTGTCTTGCCTCTGCCAGATTAAGATCCTTTTCTGGAGTCAGGAATTGGGGGAGGTCTATCCACTGGGACTCTTCTCCACGGATAGTGGGTGTTACTTGCCAGCCCGGGCTTCCAGCCAGTGTCAAGGAGACACCCAGCCTTCTTGAATGCCTGCCAACTGCAGTCCTCTGTTTATAAGGCTCCCCTCTGTAGGAGCACCTCTTATAGGCTCCCCATTCGGGTGGGTTCCCCAGAAAGCTCACCCTATAGACTCTCTGCTCAGGCCCTCCTGGGAGCTCCCCTCCTCCGAAGCTTTCTGTCTCCCTTGGGAGTTCTCCTTTAACTTGAGCTTGGGTAACCATTAGTAGGTCCAGGGATTTGTTTACTCATCAGCCATTGGGGCAATCAGTTACCTTCAGTGGGCAGTCACAGGCAGACTGGGCCCTAACTCCTCATAAAGGGCAGCTGCCTTGTGATGGGGATGGACTAGCTGACCTCTTGAGCTCCCCTCCAGCCCTACATTTCTATGATTTTATTATATGCATTTTTCCTTCTTTGCTGGGGGCAGCGGGGTGGGTGGGTGGGCTACAACATCACGAAAAGCAAAACTAAGTCTTAACCAAATTTGACTTTGAGCAATTAGCACATACAGAAAATGGTTTAAAACGTTACTAACCAAATGCTTCATTTTCAGACATGGACTTCTGGATGGTTCTAAAAGAAATTAAAGAAATGTACCATTAGCTGCCATTTAGAGTTAACAAGTAAAATGAATTTATTCAAATACTGGTATTTTCAGACTAATTCTTCAAAGTAGTGTCTATGGATTTAGCTGTGCTACTCCCACTGGTTTTAACTGGAGTTACTCAGCTTTTTTCATACACACAATCACACACTCCATAACGGAGCTTTGAAAGTTTATAGATATTTGTTTTGCTAACCGTTATTTTTGGAGTCTCTTTCTGGAATGGAGAAATGTCAATAGTATATTAAGCAGTCTGTCAAGAAGACAGGAAGTGATATTTTTCCTAGAGATTATCAGAATCATCCCAGAGCTGTAGGCCTTTAGAAGCTTAAATTTGCTACCTTGCTAATGGACTGAACCAAAACCCTGGGTCTGAACAGAACTGACTTTAGGATGCCCAGAATCTGGGTCCAAATTTTGCACCTCAATCTCCTATCTAGTTTTTGTATACCTGTATTTGATACTAATATACCAACATACTTCACTAATTCTTTCCACATGCATCCATTTGCAGTCATTTTGCTTTATCCATCATCATTAGAAGTGTATACCAAGTTCAACTTAAAAAATAAATCACTCCGAATCAATATGATGATAGCCTGTGAATTAATTTTTTCCATCCTATCCACCTCCCCCATAATTAGTAATCTGTGAGCTGTACAACGTTCCACATAAAACAGACAATTTCTGATCCATCTGTGGTGATATTATTTGAGTATCAAGATGGTTGAATTGTTCATTATAAAATAATATTTATTCTAAAGTTAACCTTTTTTAGGTTGAATTAATCGATTTTCTTCTTACTTACTAATTATTTATAAGTATTGACCAAACTTCTGGGCTTCCAGATTGCGAGTTGATCACAAAGTTTTGACTTGGATCATTCACTGTTTTATTGTATTGTATTGTTGATCACCTGGGTCATGTGTTACTGTTTCTATCCAGTGATACGAATTACTGAAAAAATTTAACCTTGTCCTAGTCTGCATTTCAAAGTTCTACCATATGTCAGTTAGGGGTGTGTTGTTTTACTGCAATGGTATTACCAGTAAAAGCTCTGTCGTGGACACAGTTTACCAGTATCAAGGTGATTTACACACTGATATAGTACTCCCTTTCCAGTACACTATAATCTATACGGCATAAAGCACATTTATACCAGTATAACTGCACCCATGCTAGGAGGGTTGTACCGCTTTAACTACCAGTACAGTTAAAGTAGACAACCCACATGGGAGTAACAAAAATCACAAACGATGCAGTAGCAATATATGAACAATCATTCATTCTAAAATGCATTACACCTTTGAAATTTGTGAACATTTTCACATGGTACTTATCAGAACACTGAGCAGCACCTAGTAGGACCTCACAAATCACAGCACACTTGTAAATCAGTATTCTTAGCATTTGACCAGATGTAGAGTAAGACCATTTGGCCAACATCATGAAGTTTTCCCTTTGTCTTTGAACACTTTGGTATCTGAATTTCTCAGCTATATTGGTTGGCAACACTTATTCTGAAGTTATTAGAGTCTACATTTAAAAAAAGCAAAAAATGCATACGGAGTCCATGGATTTTCATGTCTGTCATAGAGAGACAGATGAGCTCTCCTTCAAACGTGCCATTAGAGGAGATTTCATTTGAAAGAGACCTCTTTAGCAATGCAATAACCTGGATTCTTAAGCCAACAAAGAATTTTCAGTAAATTCCTCTACTAGCTCCTCACTATATTGTTAGTACTTACTGGTCATTAGCCCAAATCATAACATTGGCTCACATATGACATACTCAAACTATTCTGCTGTCACATGAACACTTTAGAAAATACAGTCTAGTTAATCCAAATCATTTTGCAAACTAATTTTTTATTTGGATTAAACACAACCAAAAAACTCCTTCAGAAGATTATTGGGTCAATGGTACAAACATGCTAGAAACTAGGTTACCACTTAAATCTTTCAGAAAAACAGACATATGGTTCAGGCATGTTCTGATTAACAAGGGCTCACTGCACTTGATTTTGGACGTCCTGGTTCCTTTATTTTGGAAGGAAGGATTTATGCCTATGAACAAGCAATGGTGAAAGAACTTTAGTAATGCATTTTGAGCTTGTGACTCACTTTCCAACTTGCAGTACCGTTAGATCATTGATACACTATTAATAATACACATAGAATTTATAATAAAAATGACAAGCTAGGAGGCACAGACAAAAATACTGACAATGTACAGAACTTGAAATGATCTCAACTTACTTTTTCTTCCTTGTCAGACTGTTCTCAAAATCAGAAAATTCCTTTAAAAAGACAGAAAAGCTGGTGTGAAAATGAAGAATGTTTAATCTACATATAATATTCTTCGTACAACATGTTATGAAAGGAGCTATCAGATTCTTTTCTATTTGTGTTTATTACATACTAGTATATAAAGTCTTAAATATTTTAGCTTAGGGAGTCACTGTACAATGGGAAAGATAGGTAGTCAAACTCTAGGTGGCTTGGTTTTCAGGGGCTTGAACATATACACCTCCTACTGAGTGCACAAGACTCTGAAATTGACACTTCCAAGTATAACATCTCTGAAAAATCAGCCCGCATTACCCTCATCAGCCAGCAAATGCCATATTTGCTGAACAATGTGATTCCTAGAAATATCCTCCTAAAAAGTACAAAATAACCATATGTGTTAGGAGGATATAGTAATTGCCTATTGCCATAGAATGTGGCTTTAGAAGGGAGCAGAAAGATGCAAGTTGTGGCATCTCTTATTACATGCATGGAAAAATCAGTGCATAAAAGACAACAAGAAACTCTTGGGGTGAATCTTCACTCTTTAAGTTAGTTGGACCCACCCTGGTCTTGAACTAAAGCTTAACTTCAGGAAAGGCCACAGAAGACAAGCTAGGATAGAACAGAATCTCTCATCAAAATATTATTTTGATACCTCTTTATCTAGAATGTTGGAAATATAAATCAATTTCATGTCTGTGTTGGAAGCACAAAATGAGGTAAAAATTCCTGTGATGTACCCTATTCCTACTGGGCACACAGTGATACATCCTAAAGAAGAAAAGTAATATATATATAACTTTACAGCTGTTTCCCCCCATACTTTCATTTTATTTTATTTCATTTAACCTTCTTCATATAATGGCATCAATGTTTTTATATTCTGATCAACACCATGGAATCTAAGCGTTTCATCCGTGACATTTAATATATTAACCTTCTGAAGGGTTTTACTATAGGAGGGGGCAATCCAAATGTGGAATTTATGTATTAAATATTTTGTTACACACTTTTCACGTCTCTTTTGAAAGGTGAGTTAAAAGGGAACGCTTTCATATAGATTGTGTGGGATTATATTAGCTGGAGTAGAAGGTTCTATTAATGTCCTGGCATTTTGATTATTATATGTGCCATTTTTAAAAGAATGTTTATGTATCTGGAGATTTGTTCACTGGTGCAATGCACAAATCAAAACATTAAACAATGTTCAATCTTTGCTTTGAAATACTGCATGCAATTTAAGATGAATGTGTTGTGGATTAAAGCACATTTCAGTCTTGGGATGCTCATATGAGGCTGTTCAATAGCGCTAAGAGAAACGGCTTCATTAAATTAGGCTCAGATCCTAACACACAGAAGTCCACATCACAAACGAGAATTAATGAATGCACTTTCAACTCAGGCAAGATCTAGAATTTAACCAGATAAAAGATTACCTTTTTTAATGTTCCAAATTTGCTACTTCATCACAGTACATATCGGGAAAAGATACTGTGTTCCACACAAAGTGCTATATGAAAGACTAGGGAAAGCTCACAGGTGTTAATTGTAATGCTTTTATGCTGCTGTCTCTGATAGAGGTGTAGACAAAACTCTGAAAAAGAACTGTTTACTCCCCCTCACTCCCCGTATATACAGTAAATCCAGAGAGGTTGACAGAGTAATGTATCTGAGAGATTCCTTTGGAGGCATGGTGCCAACAACTGCTGTAACATATCGAAACATTTTGATTTTTCAATAATGTTCATGGAAGAATTGTGTTTGGGTGTCAGAGACCTTAGGTCAATATTATTAAGGATAAAATGCCCTCCAAATCCTTAGGAGGTTTCTGCCTCGAGCTGAACTGCAGCTCTGCCTTTGCAGTCAACTGTCCTAAAAAGAACTTTGTAAACCAGAATCCATCTATTTGCTGTGATGTCAACTGAGAGACTATATTAACATGAGAGGCTCCTAATTCACTTGTTGGGAAATAAGGGAAGATTAATCCCAACTGAATATTTTGAGAATACTTGAAATTAGCTGGTCAGACTACACCAAACTTCAATTTATCCACCCACACAGAAATTAATTATATTAGTTAAAATTTATTGTATTATAATTCTAAAGAATTATTAATAAATTTGGATATTTTAAAGCCAGCAGTCTGACATAGAACATTCCTTCATTCTCCATTGGCACTGAACATGAAAATGTAGGTACAGATGTTTGTCTTGTGATTTCAGATCTATGCTTCAACAACGGTTTATTTAAATCTACCTAGATGTTTATATGTGGTTACATGGTTTTGCAGGTATGTTCATTGGACATACTGCAACAGTGACTAAATATTAAAGTGTGGACATCATCATCATCATCATGTTCCTATTACACCTCTGGCATTTAGGGCAGTGACGAAGCTCCTCCACTCCTGTCTGTTTCTGGCAAATCTTTCAGTAGTTCCCCAGCTGTGCCCCACATTTTTCAGCTCGGCTTCCACAGCTCTTCGCGATGTTGTTTTCGGGAAGCCTCATTTTCACTTGCCTTCAGGTGTCCATCTTATTGCTACTCTATGATAGAATCAGTTTCCATCCAAAGCACATGGCCAATCCATCTCCAGCGCCTCCTGGCAATGATGGTGCTCAGATCCTCTTGTTTGCACTGTGTCAATAGATCTTGGTTTGAGATTGTTCTGGCCCAAAAGATATGGAGGATTTTTCTGAGGCAGGTTGTATGGAATGAAGACAGTTTGGACCTGTCATACTTTCTCATTCCCCAGCATTCTGCACTATAAAGTAGTGTTGAAAGTATGCAGCTCTGATAAATCTTGAGTTTAGTTTTGGTATTGTATTTTGATGATTTCTAGACTGTATTTAAGCTCCTAAAGGTGTTTCTGGCTTTATTGATTTTGTTCTGGATTTCCTGGCTTGTTCCACCGTCCTGGCTGATGGCGCTGCCCAAGTACGTGAATGTTTCTATGTTGGTGGGAACATAATCCTCTATCTGAATTGGTGATGGTGAGGCAATATTAAAGGTCATGATATCTGTCTTATTATGGTTTATTTTCAGTCCAATTTGCTGGCTGAATGCGTTGAGTTGAGTCATTTTTTCTTGTATATGGTGTTGGGTATGTGATAGGAGAACGACATCATCTGCGAAGTCCAGGTCTTCGAGGGATGAGAAGAGTGTCCATTTAATGCCTCTTGGCTTGTCTTCTGTTGTACACCGCATTACTCAGTCAATGGCAATGTTGAAGAGGATTGTAGACATGACACACCCCTGATGTACTCCAGTTTTGACTTCAAAACTGAGTTTACTGTGATCAACACTGCATGAAAAGTTGAAATAAAAGCTTTTGATGACGTTGATTATAGGGAAAGGAATTCCATATGCCCACAGAATGTGTCATAGGCTGGTCCTGTGAATGCTATCAAAAGCCTTCTCAAAGTCTATGAAATGTATTTAGAGTTGCCATTGCCATTCTAAGCACTGTTCTATTATGTTTCATAGAATGAAGATCTGGTCTGTATATCCACTCCCCTTCCGAAAACCAGTTTGTTCTTTTCTAAGAACACTACCAACTGCCTCTGATATATGCTGGGCTATGATCTTACACAATACTTTGCTTGGCACAGATAAAAGTGTGATACCACGCAAGTTATTACAATCACTGAGAGTTCCTTTCTTTGGTATCTTCACTATAACCCCATTGGTTCACTCATCTGGCACTTTTTCCCTTTTCCAGACTGATGTAAATAGAGGGGCAAGGATAGATGCTGCTAATTTAGGATTTACCTTGAACAATTCTGCATTCAAGTTATCCTTGCCAGGAGCTTTCCCATTTTTTAAGGATTTGATGGCTTGAATGGTCTCTTCCTTAGTTGGGGTGTCTGTGCTGATATCAAGATCTTCTTCTGCCTCCTGGATGTTTGCTTCCCCTGTAGGTGGCTCCCTGTTTAGCAATTATTTGAAAAGCTCTGTCCAGCGCATTTCTTGTTCTTTTTTGGTTGTTAGTAGGTGGTCTTGTTTGTTCCGGATGAGAGTATTTGTTGGTGTCTGCCGTTTACCACTGATAAGCCACGTCATCTTGTAGACAGTTCCTTTTTGACCACGAGCAGCTGCACCCTCTGCTTGTGTTGACAGATTATCAATATAATGCTAGGTTTCAGAGTAACAGCCGTGTTAGTCTGTATTCGCAAAAAGAAAAGGAGTACTTGTGGCACCTTAGAGACTAACCAATTTATTTGAGCATGAGCTTTCGTGAGCTACAGCTCACTTCATCGGATGCATACCGTGGAAACTGCAGCAGACTTTATATACACACAGAGAATATGAAACAATACCTCCTCCCACCCCACTGTCCTGCTGGTAATAGCTTATCTAAAGTGATCATCAAGTTGGGCCATTTCCAGCACAAATCCAGGTTTTCTCCCACCTCCCCCCCCCACACAAATTCACTCCCCTGCTGGTATCCCATCCAAAGTACAACTCTCTACACAATGTGCATGATAATCAAGTTGGGCCATTTCCTGCACAAATCAAATTCCCCCCCCCCCCCCCCCCCCTCCCACCAAAACCACACACACAAACTCACTATCCTGCTGGTAATAGCTCATCCAAAGTGACCACTCTCCCTACAATGTGCATGATAATCAAGGTGGGCCATTTCCAGCACAAATCCAGGTTTTCTCACCCCCCCCCCCCCATACACACACAAACTCACTCTCCTGCTGGTAATAGCTCATCCAAACTGACCACTCTCCAAGTTTAAATCCAAGTTAAACCAGAACATCTGGGGGGGGGGGGTAGGAAAAAACAAGGGGAAATAGGCTACCTTGCATAATGACTTAGCCACTCCCAGTCTCTATTTAAGCCTAAATTAATAGTATCCAATTTGCAAATGAATTCCAATTCAGCAGTTTCTCGCTGGAGTCTGGATTTGAAGTTTTTTTGTTTTAAGATAGCGACCTTCATGTCTGTGATTGCGTGACCAGAGAGATTGAAGTGTTCTCCGACTGGTTTATGAATGTTA